GTTTTTTTGGGGGGGGGAACCAATTTTGCAGTTGTACAATTTAGCGTATGCAGTTTTATGCAGGTATGTCCCTCTGTGCCTTCAAGATTTAAAACATGTGCATACTGACGTAGTTTCAGTGTTTTCTCTCCTGTCAAAACTGAAGAAGGTATTGAAATACAGTATTAACAAGCTCCTCCTTTGTAGCTGTATGATTTAAGAGGAGTGATACGTTACCTTTTGATTTATTTATTTTTTTAATATAATAGGGAAATGATCTACACTGGCTAGCTTGTGCCTTGTATGTGGCTTGCAGAAAAGCTGTCCCCACAGTTAGCAGAGGAACTGTTGAAGGGAACTACGTATCCTTAATAAGAATATTACGTTGCTCAGGACAAAGGTAAGTTCTTGGTCTGTTTAATTTTGGAAAGTATCAGAATTTCGGTAAAAGTGCTGCCTCAGTTGAAAGGAAAAGTCAGATTGCTGGAGAAACCTTGATTTTTCCTATGAACATGTGAATTTATTTATTTATTTATTTGATTTAATTTATATGCCGCCCACTCTACCCAGAGGTCCCTGGGCAGCTTTCAACAATTAAAATTCAATTAAGATACAGTCTCCGTACCAAAACCCGGCCTGAAATCCGATTGAAATGGATCCAGAAAATCGTTTCATCCAGCAGCGCCTGGAGTTGCCCGGCCACAACCCGCTCTAACACTTTGCCCAAATAAGGGAGGTTCGCCACTGGTCGATAGTTAACCACCAGCCTTGGGTCCAGGTTAGGCTTTTTAAGGAGTGGTCCGAATTACCGCTTCTTTCATGGTGGTAGGGACCACTCCCTCTCTCAAAGAGGCGTTCACGGCCTCCTGGACCGTGAATTGCTATAGTATTAAGTATAAATGTATTTATTGCTTATTCATATTCTTGTATGGAAGTGAAGGAAAAACCATTACAAAGAGTGTTTTTAGTAATTGTAATATAGTCCTTGGGTTTTATTGTTGATCAACAAGATCTCTTTGAAATGTAGACATGTCTAAAATAGACATAAAATGTCTTATTTTTTCCTTCCTGTAAGATGTATTCAGCTAACATCTATTTAGGTACAGTGTTTCAGCAGAGGTATTCACTTCCTGTAATGTTGATATTAATATGTCTTGAAATGGAAAGTGTTTTATATCTGGCAGCTTGGTGTCAAACATGACTTCTCCCAAGATATTCATACTCAGGCTTAAGACTGAGGTGAAAAGTTCAAAGCAAATATACGCATGTGGGAAGAGAACAGAGGATGTATTTGTGGTTAGGCGTAGCAAATTGATTATTTGCTACTTTGTCTAAGCAGGAAACATTGAATATCAAATTGCTGTCAGCATACATGAACTGTAAGCTTTTGCGCTACTTTTTGCATACAACTGATTAATGAAAACATACTTGGAGTATATTATATCAGTAACTCTATCAGTGAAGAATTACAAGACAGTAAGGGGCGGGTGAACACATGACAGCAGCGCCATCTGAGGCATTGTATTTAGAAGTGCCGGAAACAGAAACACCAGACACGCAGGGAACGAGGAAGGAATATCTTTCTCCTTAAATAACTAGAAAAGCCAGTTAAAGGAACACTGCAGTGCACAGCTGGTCATACATGTCTGAAATTTGTTACAGAAAAGAAATTTTAAAGCGGGAAGCTTTCTTATTGTAAAAGTAAATGTTAATTTTCTTTCACATTTGCTCTTGAAGACATGTGTGATTACATAAGTTTTCTGCAAGATTTTAGAATGCTGACTTCCTATAAGACAAAACGCTGATCATCTAATATCTTCAGTTTGATAGAGTTTTTTAACAAGATGAAGAAATGGGAAGATATGGCAAAGCTACCCTCTCAATTCAGAGAACGTACTACAAGATTAGAAAGAAATTTTACCGTTTCTGCTGTCATTTTTAAGAAGTATGAACCCATTTTTCAGGACATTTTCAAGTACCCTCAAGATGACCAACCACGTCAGCAAAGAGGACGAAAACAAAGGTATGGTTCGTGGCATATATTTTGTAAAAAAATATGTAAACAAGTAAATATGTTTAGTGTTTGTGGCAGTCTTCAGGGCAAGCTCTACCACTACGCGAAGGAGGCTGACACCCAGGCGATTGATTTTCAGCTGCTATTAGAGAGCGGTGAATCATTTAAGTATTTAATTTGCCACTGTATTTTAATTACCATGGGTGAGGAGTTTAGATTTTTTGCTTCATGACAAAAAAAAAAATTGTGGTTGGGTTTGGTTCTATAAAACCTGACTCGGGTGGGATGAAGCTGCCGTTTGATGACACAGCTCTGACAAAAGAATCTTGCTCTTGAAGAATACAAGTCTCCCTTTCTCTGTTCTCACTTCTAAGCCACCTTGGGTCATTTTAAAGAGAAAGGCTGGGTACAAATATTTTTGATAAATAAATGTCTTTTTAAGTTTGTAACTGGCCTAGGAATTAAATGTCATCCACAGCCTCAGTATCCATGCCTTCATTAACAGAAGAAAGGGCTGCAAAAGCTGAATATGCAGCTCATTTTTCTTATTAGCATGAGGACTCCTTAGCTCTCAACTTAGAATGAGAATATAATGTAGCCTTGAATATATTCTGGGTGAATCTCCTATTGGGGTGGGGGAGGCATAGTTTTGAAGGGCTTTGTTGTTTAAATGAAAATGTAATGCATTTGCTTCTTGTTGTGGCTTTATTTTGGCAAAGGAAACAACCATGTACGGTCTCTGAAGTTTTCCAGTTTTGCTGGGTGCTGTTTGTTTATGCAAAAGGTAAGAATTAATGTTTAGTCTAATACATTGCTTCTTGGCTTTGATTATAAGATATAAACCTGAAGGTGTAAGGGTCAGCAGTGTGCTGCAGTTATTGCCCTGAGATAGTGGAATGGACATCTCTCAGCAATTCTCTTCTTTGCCTGCTTTGAGGAAGGATTTCACGGCACATCCTTTTGACTCTTGGTTTGACTGGCTAGTCTTCTTTTAGGAGATTTCTCAGGGAAGGCTAGTGGCGTGATGATTTGGTTTTGATGGTATTCTCTTGTATTGCATAATCCGTTGCTTTCGCTAAGCCACACTGAAGTTTGGAAAGCTAACACGAGCATATTTTTGATAATAATCAGTTGAATTTGCTCTCACAAGGTTTATTCTTATAGTTGCATGTAAAATTAATACTTTTGCTTTTCTGGGAAAAGTTTAAAGTTCAAGAAAGCATTGTTTGATGGTTTTTCAAGTTTTGCAGCATTCTGTGGTTTACTGGTATTTCATTCCCCCACCCCCAAAACCAAAATCTTTTGACCCTTGGTTTTGTGCACCGATTTATAATAATTCTGTGGAGACAATTGTACATTCAGCAGGAAACCAATTGCTTCAGTGCAATGTAGATTTACTCATGACTGCCATTGAGTCCGGCGATGTTTTTGCAAAACAGGGTTTCGCTGTCTGCAGAGACCAGCTCTGTTTCACGCATCAGCTTTCCTTCCTGCAGAGCTAAGTTCAGCTACATGCATGGAATTTAAATGCATTGACTGATTCTGATCAGAAGCAACAGACTTGGCCAACTGGGGAGCTGCTGAAGGCTTTCGTATGTGTGGGTTATGGATTTTCATATTGTGTGATTATCCAGATGAATGGCTTATGGATTGCTAAAAGCGATGCCACCACTGTAAACATGTGATGAGCTCAGATGTATTGCAAGGTATGGTGTGGGTGGCTCTTGTAGAACAAGAGTTCATTTACTCCAATTTTAAACTGCCTTCCTCACAATTTTCATGTTCCGGATGGCTTCCTGTTCAAAACCCACAGTTTCAAAATGGGGTCGTTTCCTCTTTAAAGCCCACAAAATCCACATCCTTTGAAAGAAACAGCCGTGTAGCCTCCCACTGGTCACCAGGCTTGTTATCAGTAAAGCAAAGATTAATTGTCCAGACAATGGGATTTGGATGGGAGCAGACTGTTTACATGTATAAGACTTAGCTTTCAGGAGAACTGCACAATGCTGCCCCCAAAATACCACTTTTGTTGCTGTGTCAGAATGTCCCCCTTCCCTTCTTTATTTTTATTATTTAATTATATCTTGAGGGTTAAAAACATCCCATTTCTTGAGCCCTTTTTAAAGAGCTGCTCTCTTCCAGCAGACGGGTGCCTCCGTGACTTTTGTTGAATAGAAGGGCTTGAGCACACAGTCCCCTAAAATAGACAAGGCTCTAAAACAGGTGAGGTAGCTGGCACTGCCATAAAGCCTGAAAGGGAGGACCTGACACAAGCAGAGCAGAGTCTGTTTGTCTTTGAGAATCGGAGGAATTGGGTTCTTGCTTGCTTCGTCTACGTAGGTCTTTTGCTGGGCTTATCATGGCAACTGCATTTTGAGGACAAGTTTGGGCTTGTCTGTGTGACAGGCTTCCTACTCAGAGAACAACAACTTCCTTTCTTTGCACAGAAAGTTCTGCCGGTGTATTGCTTACTGCTTTTGCTGCGGATTAATAATTTTGCTGCTCAATATAGCATGGTAAGAGAAACGCTAAGATAACGCAAAGTCGCACAGTGTTAGTAGGATGACTGGTGCTCTATTTTTATCTTGCTCTTCCAATTTTGAATAATGGAGCAGCATTCATGGTTGTTTATAATTGAATATTCCTTATTTGGGGCTGTTGTTAAATGGTCGCAGTGTTTAGTGTTTAACTTTTTTGAACGTTTGAAGCGAAAGTAGTTAGCATTTGGAAATATTGTTTGTTCATTGGTAACATTTTATGATTATTGAAATTATTACATGTAATAGTTGTTTGTTTATAAACTTATATTTTTGTAAATGTATAAACAGTACTTATTGTCTCCCTACCAATTAAAAAGCACAATATAAATACAAAACCGAATGAAAATTGTCTGTAAAACCAGAGTGCAACCCAAAGGTGTGATGAAATAATAAAGTTTTGACTTCCAGCTGTTAATTCCGTAAGAATGGAAGGAACATGAATTCGCCTTTGGAGGGAGTCTTATAGCCAAGGTGTTGTTAAAGGGGGGGGGGGAAGAGTCTTATTGCAGTGAATTTGTATGAATAAATATGGGACTTGCCATTAACTGATCCAAAAGTCAAACTAAGCCAGGGAACAAAAAAGACTCGCAAGAGTCTTTGGAACTGTTTGGGTCCCGTTGACTTGTTTTACATGGTACACAAATGGCAATTAGAGAAATGCTTCAGATACTCAAAAATAATTCATGGAATAATTCCAAAGAAAAGCTTTAAATTACTGGAGGATTGTGCACCCCTGCTTAGTATTGTGTTGCTGAGTATCTTAGTGCAAACTGAAGTTAAAAACATTAGTTCAAACTACAGCATTTTAAATACAGCAAACATCGGTTGTTTTTGTTTTGTGTTTTCACTTTGGAACACAATGTATTTACATATAAATAACGTTATTTATATTCCGATTTTCTTACACTGTTCACTGGTAAATAGATGAGGCTTTGCATTCAGATGTCGTATTTGTTTATGAAAAATCTAGAACTTCAAATGTATTTCCTCTCAAATTCTGTTTAAATGTAATTCATGCCCTAATTGAATTCTCACAGGAAATTTCCCTATGATCAGTGATGACTTGGTCAATTCGTACCATCTCTTGTTATGTGTTCTTGACCTAGTCTACGGAAATTCTCTGCAGTGCCCAAATCGTAAGGAGCTTCTGAATCCCAGTTTTAAAGGTATGCTGAATATGTTACAGATATGTGCATATAGGGTTTTTTATGCTGTCCTTCTTAACTTTAATTTAATTGATGTGTTCATTTGATTTTTCTGCTTTGTCATGATGGTTTTGTAGTTATTATTTAATGTGTTGTTGTTCTGTGGCTGCAGAGGATGCTAGAAAGTCAGTGACCTTGGTAGCCAAAGGGAGTTGGAAAGGGTCTCTTTAAGGCCATCATGTCCACCCTTCTCAGTGGAGGAATCCAAATCAAAGCCGATCTGACAGATGGTTGTCCAATTTTCTCTTGAACGCCTCCAGTGGTAACATGGTTCCATTGTCATCTATGAAATGACATGTTTTCTTTTCTTTTCTTTAATGTTGCTATCAGGATGCATAGCAAGTATCTGAACAAATTGTCCATACTTCCATCTAACTGACACAAAAGAATAGGACTGGGTTGATGAAGAATGAAAAGTGAAAGAACAAGATTTATTTTGTGTATTCTGAGGAACAAATCTTGTGATACCAAAATGGAAATTGCTGTATTTATTATTACATAGGATAGAGGCCCAGGTTAATAGGAGGTGGTTTCATATTTAGACTTTAATGTAAGACAAAAAGGTGTGTTTTTCACTTTTTCCCTCACTTTCCTTATCCCAGGACTGCCTGAAGATTTTCATAATAAGGATTTTAAACTGTTGTTTGAACCCCCTTGCATCATTGAAAAACTTTGTTCTTTACACGATGGCTTGATTTTAGAAGCGAAGGGCATAAAAGAGCATTTCTGGAAGCCCTATGTGAGAAAACTCTTTGAGAAAAAGGTATGCAGCTAAATAACAAAAAGCACTTCACAAATGGTTTCCAAGTATTCCATTCCTTGCACTTAACATCCTGTTTTCTTCTTGTGTAGATTCTAAAGGGAAAGGAAGAAAGTCTGACAGGGTTTCTAGATCCTGGAAGCTTTGGCGAAAGCTTGTAAGTATCGGGAACCGGGACTAGCTGCTATCTGTACCATTCTGAGAGTTTGTTGATGATAGAAGCTACCTTGTTCTGCGCTCCCTCCATGTAAAGCCAGTGAGAGCCTTTCTTTGCAGCTGCAACACTCATACTATCTTCAAAATGATGTTGAAATTCTAAGTGAAAAATTTCCAGCCTTTGCAGAATCTATGGTATCTTTAACAAGAGGCATGTCTTCTGTGAAGAAGCACCTAGATTTTTTTCCCTTTGCGCACCATACATTTATTGCCTTTTTGCAAAGGCACTGCAAACCCTAACATTAAATTATCTAGATTAGGCCTCCTCCTGTCTCGAGAGACTGTGGTAACGTGCTCTGTATTGAGGACTTGGAACAGCATCTCGTGTGGCTGAGAAAGCCAATTCAAGAGTGACGATCCCTTCCATTAAATTATGCAAGACGTGGATATGATCAGCATCAGGGGAAATATGTATGGCATCTCTGATTATGCCCTCTCCCTGAAATATCAAACTCTTGGCAATGACATATTTTCCCTTAAAATCATTCGTGTTTCTTGCCTTGCGTTCCACCTGTTTAACCCCCTGTTGCCCTTCTTGGGGTTGGAATGATTTGAGGGTGTGATCAGGAGGACCACAGGCAGAGGACAAGGTTTGAGAGAAACGCTCTCCCTGCTGTTCCACAAACAGAGGAACAACTTCACATCCAAGCTTTTGATTGGACCAGCAACTGGTGCTTATTTTGCTACATACATATCAGTTAACCTTTAATATGTTCTTTCCTCCCCTCAGAGAACAGCCTTAATTAATGTTTGTAAATTATATTGCAATATTTTTATACAACATTGGATTGCCAGTTTTTTTTCCTCTCCCTATTTTTCTTTGCCCATTTTCCCTACTATTTGTGTTCACTTAGCTTGTAAGTCTTTCTAAAAGGTATCATAGAAGGCATCACTGCTCTTCTTATCCACAGCTCGCTATTTTGTGGAGTCATTTGTGTTTTGAGGACTCAATTAGTGTCTTTTTTAAAAAAATCCTTCTGTAGCAAATCCATCAACAAGGCCTACGAAGAGTACGTCTTGTCCGTCGGAAATCTAGATGAGCGGATATTTCTTGGAGAAGATGCAGATGAAGAAATAGGAACCCTGCAGAGGTGTCTAAACACATCCTCAGGAGTCGAAACAGCTGAAAGAGTGCAAGTGAAATGCAATCTGCAGGAGCATTTTGAACGAGTGAGTGAGAGTATACATGTTTGCAGTGGGGTGTCCTAGCTGAGGAATGTTTTAGGTTCTTGCAAACAGAGACAGGAGCACATTGACCAGTGGCTGCAGAGGATGCTAGAAAGTCATCTCAGGTCTTATCCTTCTGTTTTGCTACCAACAGAGGAACTGTAGAAGCCTAATATTCATTCCCTTGAGAAGCCCCCTAACGAGTGAGTGAGAGTATACATGTTTGCAGTGGGGTGTCCTAGCTGAGGAATGTTTTAGGTTCTTGCAAACAGAGACAGGAGCACATTGACCAGTGGCTGCAGAGGATGCTAGAAAGTCATCTCAGGTCTTATCCTTCTGTTTTGCTACCAACAGAGGAACTGTAGAAGCCTAATATTCATTCCCTTGAGAAGCCCCCTGGGTCATGCCTTCTGTTTTGCTACCAACAGAGGAACTGTGGAAGCCTCACTAATATTCATTCCCTTGAGAAGCCCCCCGGGTCATGCTAGAGAAAGCCACCCTTAAACCTCCAGCCGTGGCAGCGGTAACAGCTGAAAATTAGGTTAAGGCTGCCATGAAGAGAGGCTGCAATATTGTCATCTCTCATGTGATCTTGAGTTTTTGTGTTAATCTGGTAGTTAGTGAAGACATTGTGTCACTGTGGTTCCTGTGCAGCTGGAGTAATAAGAGTGCCTGGTAATGGAAGCCACACTGGCTTGGACATATATTTCCCTTTGTGTTTGTGTGTGTGTCAGTAGTAATCTAATGGTGCTTCCAGAGTGGAAGAACCAGTAGGGTGCTGTCATTGCGTAATCTAATGGTGCTTCCAGAGTGGAAGACAAAACCAGTAGGGTGCTGTCATTGCACAGGGTGCATGCTCGAATATGTCCATAGTCCCCACATTCTTTGGAGGGGTTGTCTTTTCTTGCCCCCCATAGATTTCCTGAGAATGCACATACAGTGTTTAATATTAGTCCCATAGATGAAGGACAGAGTATTGCTGTAAGAAATGAAAGAATCATTTTTGTCAACTGGCTTCCTGTCTGTTACCAACAAAGAAAATGATTCTATATAGGACTCCTTTGCAGGTGCATTTATAAGTCACTAAACCTAGATTATATATAGGGATGTGGTGGTGCTGTGGGTTAAACCGCAGAAGCCTCTGTGCTGCAAGGTCAGAAGACCTGCAGTTGTAAGATCGAATCCACGCAACGGAGTGACCTCCCGTCGCTTGTCCCAACTCCTGCCAACCTGGCAGTTCCAAAGCATGTAAAAATGCAAGTAGATAAATAGGTACCACCACAGTGGGAAGGTAACGGCGTTCCGTGTCTAGTCACACTGGACACGTGACCACGCAAGATTGTCTTCGGACAAACGCTGGCTCTACGGCTTGGAAACAGGGATGAGCACCGCACTCTAGATTTGGACCAAATGTCAAGGCAAACCTTTACCTTTTTAAACCTAGATTATACTTCTCCCATAGGACCAGAGGCAGGCACAGTCTGAGGCCACCTTGTTGACAAGGAAGGTGAGGTCTAATCCATCCAGAGCCTCCTGGTGATTATTATAAGGAGTGGCTTCTCTGCATCCTGGGTTTATACAGTCATAGAATTGTGGGTCACCTGTTTCTTCCTTTGGGTAATGCAGTGAAGGCCCAGCCAAAGCATCTCTGAGAAATTGTCCTCCAGGGTGTTTTCAAAAACCTCCCAGGAAGTTGAGTGCCTTGGACAACTGTTCCATTGTCAAGCAGCTTTTTGCTGCCAAGAGGTTCTTTCCAGTGTTTAATCGTAATCTAGTTCTCCTCACTGGGATGCATTTATCTGGGGCCACCCTGCTACAGAACTTAACATCTTTGCACCACCCTCCGTGGGACAGACCCTCATCTATCTGAAAATATTCTGTCCCTTCCCGCTCTTCTTGATCCTGCACTAACCAGGCACAGTTGAAAGAGAAAAGATGGCAAATATTCACTGTTCATTATGAAAACATGCTACTGGTCTGAGGGCCACATTAGCATCAGTTAGACAAATCTGTACTCCAGCTGTAACTAGGAGGTAGTGGTACTAAAACTCTTCTTCTGTTAATGTTTTGAAATATCTTCCGCTTTGCTTTTGATTAGGCAAAAGCCTTCAGAATATCCACACCTCTTACTGGCCGAAAATACATCAAGGAGAGCGATCCCTGTGTGAGCCCCCTTTCTGCAGCCACATACAATTTGACACGGCTCCATACAATGCTGACAGGCTTGAAAAACGCCCCTAGTGAAAATCTGGAGCAAATTCTCAGGTCAGTAAACTTGTTTGCATCTTTGAAAAGACTAGGTTTCTAACATATAGTAGAGGAATAATATGATGTGAGAGAGGACTTCCCAGTACAGCCTGCATAACCCAATAATTTTATGTGTGGCGAGGTACAGTTCTCTAGAATAAATACTTAATGAACCCAAAATTCCTAACACAGAAACACGCATGTCCACACCTCATTACAGAATAGTGTCTGCTTATCACTGTCATTTAATGCCCTTGCATGTTCTTGGAGGAAATTGATCGATTCAAGAAGAACATAATATTAGGAGGTAAACATGCAGAACTAGCCAGGTTGCCTTCAATCTCTGTCCTCAATATCCATACAAATCTAATCTGACTGTTGTGGGGGGACGGGGCTTCTGTGGGAACATGTAAGCAACCGTCCCGCATTGCCTCTTCCATTTGCAAGTGTAAAGGATTTGTCTATTCTTTGCCAGGTCGTGTTCCATGGACCCATCTCTGTCTATTGCCAACAGAGTGAAAGAAATGTATGAAATTTATTGTCAGAGGGTGCCGTCTCAGGGAGACCCTGACCGCTTCTCCAGAGGTAGGGCCATGACTTTGCATGCGTACCAAACCACTGACACTGTGGTGAGGGTTGCCAGTAAGAGCTAAACAAACTACGGCATGTATTTGAGGTGCAGTCTGTGAAAATAGGACCTGAGCAAAACAGTCTTTGGATCTGGACTGTTCTGAAGGAACGTTTAGAAGACCCCAGGCTGAGAGACATAGGTGGGACTCAGTTCCATGGAACGATCAATGCCGTCTAGTTCACAGCTCTGTGATTCGTACCATCTCTTTGTCTCAAATGCCAGTGCCCTACTGAGCTAAGTGGAAAGTCGCACTGGCCCAATAATACAGGGTTTGGCCATTTGCACAAACGTTGCCAGCAGCAAGCAGGGGACAGTTTTTTTTCACAAAAATCCCCACTTCTGCATCTTGTGCAGTCTGGTGTGGTTATTCTGTTAGGAACTTTCTATGCAACAGAAACTCAGCAGAATTCTGGGTGGGATGGAGTGGGGTCAGACGTAACGATGGGTATTTAAGATCGGAGGAAGCACACCTTTTGGGGTTTATGTGCTGTTTCCCCTCAGTTTCCTTTCTTAATAGCTGCTCTAGTGGCAGCTGATAGAATCAGTGCCCAAGCCTTTGAATTACAAGCAGCCAGGTTTTTTTTGCCTCAGTTTCCTTTCTTAATAGCTGCTCTAGCAGCAGCTGATAGAATCACTGCCCAAGCCTCTGAATTACAAGCAGCCAGTTTTTTGTTTTGCTTCATTCTTATTGCAGATATTGTTGGAAAACATTTCCATCTTGCAGAGGTTCTTTACTACAAGGTACTAGAATCTGTCATTGAGCAGGAAAAGAAAAGACTGGGAGATGTTGACTTGTCTGTAAGTAAGTTCTGCAGAATGGTGTGTATAAATGTTCAGACCTGTGCATTTTCTCGTGATGGGAGAGATAGTCCTAGTGTCAGGGCAGAACACTGAAAGTCCTGGTGCCTACAGGCAATAATGAGTGGCAATCACTGCTTTCTTCCTTCAGAATTGGTGTGATTGTTCATCTGCTTGGGGGCAGAGGGATTGGCAGAGCAATGGAAGGGGGGGCTTGAATATTGTTTATCCAGAACCATCTCCATCCCTCCTATCTTTCAAAGCACGCAGATATACGACTGTCACATACAGCACTGATGGTACCTGTCTGTCATGGGTTTGGAGGGAAAGTTCCATCCTATGGGGAGTGGAAGGCGGGACATCAGGGGGGAGGAGCTGTACTGTATATATATGTGGAGCTTGTGTGGCGAGGGAGAGTTGGAGTCTGTGTGTCAGACTGAGTACAACTGTGTGTCAGTTAGTACATACCTGATAGGTTCAGGTTTCTTTCTAGGTAGCCAGAACTGATAGGTTCAGGGTCTGTGCGTTACCTTAAAGGGTTCAGTGGGAACCAATCTGTTATATGTGTATGTTTGGGGCTATGCCACGTTACATTATCCTATTTACCTGATTCTTTTATGTACCCTGTTTGTTATTTCAATAAACCTTGTTCTTTTATTTATTCAAATCCATTCCTGGTCTGTGTGACTCCTTATAGGGAATGGTTGGTGGCAGCATAATTACAGGGTGGCATACTCCAGTAGGTCTGGGGTTGTCACAACGACCTTCTTCATGAAGTTCATTAAGGAGCCCATTGCTCCAGCAAATCCACATAGAGGTGGATCTTTGTGTCCTAGCAGTCGTTGTGGTGATTGATCCATGCACATAAGCGGGACATTCTCCGTTCACGGCTTCCACTTACGTGACTTCAGATAGTGGGCAATCACACTTTGAAACGACTTCCCTGTACAGGGTCTCATGTAGGCAAGCCAGGAGCTTGCTTTTCCCCCAAAACAAAGGAATTCCATTTGCTGTTTTATGCAAGACTGTTCTAACTCTGGTGACTTCTTCTTTTCTTCTAAATTGTAGGCAATCCTCGAACATGATTTGTTTCACAGATCTCTCATGGCTTGCTGCCTTGAGATAATCACGTATTCTTACAAGGCCGCTGACCGATTCCCCTTCATCATTGATATATTTGATGTCCCTGCCTTTCATTTTTACAAGGTAAGCTCTTTTGACTGCCTCTGCTCTACTCTGTGAGCAAATTGACCTATTTCCATTGCTCTTGAACGTCAGCCCCATTTGAACTTTTGGCTTTTATTGTAGGTGATAGAGATTCTGATTAGAGCAGAAGACGGTCTTTGCAGGGAAGTGGTGAAGCACCTCAATCACATCGAGGAGCAGATTTTAGAGAGTCTGGCGTGGAAAATAGAATCTGCACTATGGGACAAAATCAAAGAAAACGGCAATAAAATTCCAACCTGTGAGGAGGTGAAATACGAGCACCATCTATTTCTCAGTTGTCCTTGGTATAAGTTAGTAGATAATGTATCCTACATGGCTGTCTTTTAGGTTTTAACAGAAATAGTTTTATAGATGGAATGAATTGTTTTCAAATGGAAATGGAAAGAAATTCTGAGCCAGTTATTTCAGCAAATGGTTATTAGGCTCTTCTTAAGTCTGAAATCTTGTGGGTGTTGCTACAGGTTGGCAATTTTTTCAAGAGTCAGAAGACACCTTCCTTTATGGGAGGGTGGTTGAGCACCATGTACTGGTGGCGATCATGGGCAAATTCAGCAATGGGCAAAGTCTCCTTCCCCCCGCTTTCATTCACCTTTTCTTTCTGATACACTGACATAGCCACAGACAAATACTGCACTTCATCATCTCAGCAAAGTAATCCAACACACATGTGCACCTTTTATTCTCTTTCTTTCACACCCAACTCCATCTTCCTCTTCAGCCTCCCCTACCAAAGATGGTTGCCATCGTCCTCTTCACAGACTTTGTCCTACACACCTTCCCTTCCATGGGATCTGTGAAAAGCCAGATTTTGGGGCAGCCTTCACAAGAACTAACACTGGGCTGGAAATAACAGTAAACAAGGAAAAGTTGCAAGGAGTCCACAGGGGAAAAGCCGTGTACGTGGGAACAGTGCTGTCCTGTAACAACAGACCAAGCCACAGGCAACAGTGTCGAAATAACCAGACTCTGGAAGCATTGACACTGCCTAAATCTTGTTATGTTTCCAGGTCATGCCATCTCAGTGTTTGGAAAGATCCAGTGGGAACAATGTGGCAGATTCCCCTTTAACCCCAAGGAGACTAAATGAGGTTCGTGCTGAAACTGGAGCACTGGGAAAGGGTAAGAGTTTGCAGATTTAGAAAGGATAAAAAGTTGTTCATTCACCAGAAATGACAGAGCTGGAACAAAGAATGGGTTAGGAAGCAGAGCAAAACCCTTCAAATAACACTGATAACTTGTTTTAAATTGCAGGCTTTGAAGCTAATTTGTTAGGTATTCACTCTTATTGCTATTAGTTCTTATTAAACACTTCCCTTCTCTCAATTTGGTAAATCTGGAGAGAAGTGTAGAAGCAGAGACGTGCCTACAGCAAGGGGGGTTATGCAACACCAGTTAAGGTGTTATACCTCAAGTCACTTTCCCTGAAAGTTAATATAGGGTGGATTTATATTTCAATTTTTAATAAAAGTTATCATAAGGGGAGGTTTGTTGCAGTACTTTTAGACGGAGGCTGTTACTGCAGCCTTGTGGCAGGAGATGGTATTGATCCTATTAAGGAAAGGGACCCAGTGTGGATTTTCAGTAGAAGACGAGCATGAACTGATGGTTCGCCAGTTCCTGCCTGTTTGTTTAGCAGCTGGACAGGTGTTTGGTGCTTCAAAGCCCCGCCTCCTCTGGTGGGCACCTGTTTAGAGGCATTCATGGAGGAGGTCGGGCAGGGCCGGCAGGTAACTGCCCATGAGTGAGCAGCTGCTGGAGGAGGTGAGGTTGTAAAGCACAGAACACCTGTCCAGCCACTAAAGGAACAGCCGAACCAGCCGTTTGTGCCCTTCTCTAATTTTCAGATGTCACGTGGGGGTGCATAAACCAGTAATATTCTGTTAAACTAACCGACCACAGGGCCCTGCCCAAATGTGAATGTCGTCGTCACTGCAGTCTGTGATTGAAATTCATCTTTTCACGAGGGTGATGGTTGGTCTCAGTGTCTTGTCCCCCACCTTGCCTTGCAGGCCTTCCGGCTTCTCCAGCTACGCTTTATGAGAGATACAGCTCCCCAACAAGCCACCCGACCAGGAGAAAATTGTTTGTCGATAACGACAGCCCAGCGGAGGCTCCCCGGACTCCTGTGAGGGTCTCCCAGCAGCCTGTGATTGCGACCGTCCCTGTGCAGAACGTCTCCCCAGAGACACTGCCTGTCACTCCGGTGCCCGGGCAAAACTTAGTAACCGTAGCAACGGCCACCGTCACTGCAAATAATGGGCAGACCGTGACAATACCAGTACAGGGTAAGGATATCGTTTGCCTTCCCTGCCTTTATCGTGGGGTTCCCTAAAGTTTCCCAAGGGCAAAAGGGATCCCACACCAGATTATTTTACCTTTAATGAGTTGGAGGGATTGTTGAGTGGGAGGTTGTTGAAATCCCTGTATTTATTCCTTTGCATGCATCTTTACAGGTATAGCCAATGAAAATGGGGGAATAACGTTCATCCCAGTCCAGGTCAACGTGAGCGGACAGGCTCAGCCCCTGGCCGGTTCCATCCCGCCTCTCAGCGCCCAGGCCCTTGCTGGGACGCTGAGCACTCAGCAGATGGCTGGCGCGGGGCTTCACTTACAAGGCCAGTTCCAACAGATTGCTCTTCCTGGAGAACAGAGACAAAAGCAGCTGATCGGTGGAGCCAGTGGTCCGTCCAGGAAGGCCAGCTCTCTCTCGCTCTTCTTTAGAAAGGTAGCTCTGGTCAGCAAAATCCCATCCGTTGCTCCGTTGCAGATTTGGCTGGTAACGCTAACAAGCCTTTCTCTTTACAGTCCAAATCTGGTGAGCAAAGCAGAGTAGAAACATACGCCCCTTCCCGTGTAGTAGTGTCAGACTGGCCGCCTGGCTTACTGGGGAGCTGGTGGTCATGGCATGAGTGGGATGGAGGCTAGAGCAAAGGATAGCAGGAAATTCAGAGTGCATCGGACTGGGCACGAACTAGGAGCCATTGGAAGGTGGATGTGGTGGCAGTGAAGAAGTCATTCTGTTCTCTCATCACTCGATCTGCTCAGAGTCATCCAGAAGAGCTCTTTTGAGTACATGTGTACGCTGCTGTAGTGCAGACACCCTGAGAGAAGATTTTATTTTTTCTGCATTCAAAAGAGGGAAAATAGTTTTTTGTTTAAGCAGATGGTTTAAGTCTGGGTCGCGTTAAAGGGAAGAACTTCTGCACAGATTTCTGAATGACTCAGAGATGAATTTTGTCAAGATGAGGTGTACACAAGTGCCCAGAGTGTTTTCATAAGAAGGGGATTCTTATACTTTGCATGAAGAGCCGAATTTTGAAAACAGCTAGTTGCGATCTAATGCTGACTGTCTCTCCTCCCACCCACAGGTGTTTCACTTAGCAAGTGTCCGTCTGCGGGATCTCTGTCTCAAACTCGATCTTTCTGATGAGCTGCGGAAGAAGATCTGGACGTGTTTTGAGTTCTCGCTGGTGCAGTGCTCTGAGCTAATGATGGATCGCCATTTAGATCAGCTGTTAATGTGTGCCATTTATGTCATAGCAAAGGTAAAAATCAGGAAACATCCCTAGATTGGGCTACCTCATCTGGACTTCAAGAGATCTAGTAAAAAATGCTAATAGCCTTTCTCTCTCCCCCCCCCCCCCCCCCGCATTATAGGTCACAAAAGAAGGCACATCATTTCAGGATATCATGCGGTGCTATCGGACCCAGCCGCAAGCAAAGAGCCATGTAAGCAAAGTTGGTTTGAACATTCTTTTCAGCTTCATTTATCCAATTACTCAGCTGATATCTTGGTTCAAACTTCATGGCTGTTTTGAAGTTTTGGGTACTGACATAGTGGGGATTTGTAATGAAATTTGACATGTCTGTGCTTTTTACACTTCTGCTTACTAAATAGTCATCAAGCATGTGGAATTGGGCCGCGGTCACATTAGGCACTCTTGTCAGCTTCCGCAGTTGCTCTTTCTGGGAAGCGTTTGATTGCTCTGTTTGATACAGGCAGGCAGAAATATTTTCATTTCTATGAAGGCACTCTCCATTAAAGTGGAATAAGCAGTTTTTGCCAACGTTCCTTTTATGTATACCCGTGTCTTCCCTGTGCAAGGTTCTGCAAAGAGTGCCCCCCCTTTACATTCAGATCGACCCACCACTGTTGGCTTTTTGCAGGTATATCGCAGTGTCCTGATTAAAGGCCAAAGGCGAAGACGTTCAGCCAGTAGCGACAGCAGCAATCAACAGAATTCTCCCACAGACAGAAATAAGGAAAGAAGTAAGTGGTTGTTAACATTGTCAAATTTACAAGGCTTTAAAAATTACAGTAAAGTGAGGTGCTCAGTGTAGCAAGTTTGATTTATTTGAACGGAGCTAATTATTGAAAATCTGTAATTTCATTGGCATGGTACTCCTGGCTCCGATGCAGATTGCCACTGTTTCCCAGAGCCGTCACGTTCAATGTAACTTGTAGCCAACATCATCTGGTGCGTTGGATGGAAGTATAATGACAGATGTAGATATTTAAAATCCTCAACAGTCACTTATCCACCCACAACTTTTTGAAAAACCACTGGCCTCATTGTATGCATCTTCCTCCAAATAGCTGAAGGTGTCCTAAACATTTATTATTCCTTTCCCCATTTACCTTATAGTCGGCCCTGCCAAACGCTACGGTATTTAGCTCTGAATAGTGACCCTCAGAAAGCACAGTGGCAGGCGCTTTCTGGACAGGTCTCAAAAAATGCATGTAGAAAACTTGTGCAGAGGACCATGAAAATGCTGTCGTAATGTTGGCTGAGTCCCTTGGAAGAATCCTAGTGTTACCGCTGTTTAATTGTGTCCTCCCAGCAAGCAGGGATTCTAGTCCCGTGATGAGGTCGAGTAGCACCCTGCCAGTCCCTCACCCGAGTAGCGGCCCTCCAACCCCGACCCGCCTGACCGGAGCCAACAGCGACGTTGAGGAGGAAGAACGCGGGGACCTGATTCAGTTCTATAACCACGTCTACCACGACCGAATCAGAGACTTCGCCCTGAAGTACTCGTCGGCCAGTGGAGTAAGTAACCCTTCTTTCTCGGTAATGATGACAAATGGTTTCAGTGACTCAAGAGAGTCGTAGTTTTTTTAGAGTCCTTGACCTACCAAGGGGAATCCCATTGTTTAGACGTTGTCGTTAAAAAGCACCGGAGCCGACTCGCGAGGCACTTGCGCGTTCCTTTCGTATGGACCTGGTGGTCTTGTGCAGAACGAGGGTGGAGCGACCAGTCCGGCCTTGATCTCTGTGCTTTTTTGCCTTGTTGGGAGCAATTGTAGATGGAGAAGTGTCTGGCGTCCCCATGGCAAGTCTCTTTTTGAATCTGAATAGTTGTGGCTGTATGTAGGGGCTCCCCTGCAGACCCCAATGGAAAGTGTCCTTGCTGCAGGGGAGCGGAACTTGTGGGGGATTTGAGGGGGCAAGTTATTTTATTTCCTCAGTGTTCGACTACATTTTCAACTATATATGGTCTCCTTGCAGAGGTAGCCATTTTGAATGGCATCCAATAGGGTGTTTGTACATAGTCCTGACGGTTTGTCAGCTTTACTGCTGCAAAAATTGAAATGTCAGCATGCCCTCTTTCATGTACCATGAACCAACCCGGATCCTCTTCACCAGAGTCTCTCTCTTCCCAATAACCACCAGTTAGTTTTATCGCTTTTCTGCCGTAGGCTGAGCCTCCTCCTCTTTCTCCATACCCTTTTGTAAGAAGTGGCTCCCCACGCAGAATTCAGCTGTCTCAGAACCACAAAATTTACATCTCCCCTCACAAAAACACCTCTGCGCTGTCTCCAAGGGAGAAAATCTTCTATTATTTCAGCAGCAGCCCATCAAAGGTAAGAGCTAAGAGTTGGTCTGTCTGTTTTTAGGGCAATGTCCTGTTGACACAGCTGAGTGAGATAAAGATTTGTGCATTGGGAGACTGCTGGTGTGTTTTCTTTTGTGTGCAAGATGGAACATGAAATAACCATAGGTTATAACCCAGATACTAATGCTTGACTCTTACTTTGTTCTGATGATTTTCCAGTAAGATTGTTTCCAAGTTTGATGTGTTTCAGAATTTGTGTAGCAGTTAGGTAAAGGTAAAGGTTCCCCTTGACATTGAGTTCAGTCATGTCTGACTCTAGGGGGTGGTGCTCATCCCCGTTTCCAAGCCGTAGAGCCAGCGTTTGTCCGCAGATAGTTTTCGTGGTCACGTGGCCAGCACGACTAGACACGAAACGCCGTGACCTTCCCACCGTGGTGGTACCTATTAATCTACTCGCATTTTTACATACCTTTGAACTGCTATGTTGGCAGGAGCTGGGACAAGCGATGGGGGCTCACTCCGTCACATGGATTCAATCTTACGATTGCAGGTCTTCTGACCTTGCAGCACAGAGGCTGCACCATCACATCCCTTGTGTAGCAGTTAGAACTGACTAAATAGAGCCTGATCAGGGAGCTTCACCAGTTGAAGGGTATCCTCTGTATCTCAGGCTTTTGTTTTAAATCAGCATAGTATCAAATATTCATACTGATGGGCTTATCGTTTTTGCTTAAGGTGGTACAGACTACTAAATGTACCCAATACCCCCTTAGTACTGCTCTCTGATTAGTCATCTTTTGAATTCCTCCCTATGTTGTCATTCAAGGCACCATTTTAAAACACCATATTAAGTTGCTACAAAAACTTCACAAGCATTTCCTGTGTTTCGGGTCAGGGCTAGGCAGCAGAGAGCAGTGATCACCATTTTCCTTCCTTCCTTGCGGTATATTTCCAGAGGCTTCAAGAAATCAACAGTATGATTCGAACTGGGGAGGCCTCGACCAAGAAGCGGGGCATTGTCCTGGAGGAGGGGGCTGAATCGCCAGCCAAACGAATGTGCCCAGAAAGTCACACCGCCCTCCTGCGGAGGTTACAAGATGTGGCCAATGACAGAGGTTCCCATTGAGCGCCAACCGCTTGGCTGGAGATGTGGACTGCTCTCTGAGGTCTCGCGGACCACCGCGGAGCCTGCTGCCTCTTGTCTCCGAGGCACTTCTCGTGAAGAACTGACAGGCGGACCGCAACCGCCGAAGAGGCATCCGTCTCCCTTGTTGCAAGGGGCTGCGGTACTCCAGAGCCCAGTTTGTCAGGGAAGTAATTGAAACAGCTTCCCCCCCCCAAAACAGAATGTGCCACACCACTCTTGTTTAGGAATATTTGGCTCTATGTGTGCCTGCATGCATGCATGCGTGCGTACAGCTGTAGTTTCCCAGCTGCAGCATTTGTAACTTATTTGGCAGAAGTAAGAGTAGAAACTGACAATAACTAGTATCTTTTTATTAGTTCAGACAGCATTAATGTTTTTCTACTATTTTGTAACCTATCAGTGTGATGCTCGGGATTTACAGCATTGGAGGAAAAAAATTCGGAACAAAGTCACATAGTGACACTAGAACGGATGTCGTGGCCCGCCTGACCTGCCCAGAAAACGAGGCGTTTTGTTGCATTTTAAACTGGCAATGCTAAAGAAAGTAGGCAGGACCACACTGGAGGTAGAGCAGCAGTCTTTTACCAAACTGTGGGGAAAAACGGAGCTCACTTCCAGCTTTCTTTCATGTGCCCTTCACACAATTATGGTAATGTAGAGACAGTGTGTATATACAATGTTTGGATGTTTTTTGGGGGGCGGGTGTTAGCTGTGCAATGATTTACAGTGAGTTGTAGGAGAGAGTTGTGCTTCAGTAGTTCTAAAGCATTGTTTTGAAATGCAGATTACAGTTTGGCTACCTTGCAGTGGCACTTTTAAATATATATATATATATTTTAAAATAGCCAAACCATAAGATACAAATTCTGTTTAAACTGTTTAACTTGTATTTATTTTTTTAAAAAGTATATAGTGGTAATCCTCACCTTGGATACATTTTTTTAAACTGGATGATTATGTCTTCCCTGCAGTTGTAACTTTGTGCTCACAAGTTAACAAACGATATTGGACAAAAGTACAAGTAACCCTATACATGTCAGTGTTTAATCAAAAAGCATCTGCTTCGTGAGCTAATTGTTTCAGTAAGAAAATCCTACACAACCTGCCTGAGCCAACCAAGTAAGTGTAAGGCAGAGCTGGTGAAATTTGAGTTACTGTGCTTTATGAGTGATTCACAAACTTGGGTCCCCAGATGTTCGTGGACTGCAACTCCCAGAAATCCTGGCCAGCATAGCTTGCAGTGAAGGCTTCTGGGAACTGCAGTCCAAGAACATCTGGGAACCCCTGTCTGAGACCCTCTGTTTCAGACGATGGCCAGCCAAATGACAATGGAAATAAGAGACATAGTAAACTAGGAGTGTGAAAAATTCTTCCTAAAATGCCTTGTAGATTTAGGCTGTCAGCTCCAGCCAAGAGTGAGACAAAGACTGTTTAATTTGTGCAAAATGAGCTAAATTAGTATATTTTTCCATTGAGAAGTAAAATATGCATAAAAGAACCAATTAACCCTTCAACAAATAACTAATCCAAGGCTTAAAATAAATTCATGGAAATCAAACCAAGGAGCAGTTGTCTGTTTTACATAAAATCGAAAGCTCTCCTGCAGCTCTTTCAAGAAATCAGTTTGTGATTCCTTGTGTTTGTCTGCATCCTTCCTGGCAGAAAGCGTAGTGGCCAGTAGAGTACTAGATTGCTGCACCATAAGCCATGGTCATCCTGGAAATATATACAAACTCCCGATTCAGCTTGTTTTTGCACAGGACTGGTAGTAAACGCTAATACAGCTCTCTTCAACATTGCCACTTTTTGAGAACACCCGTATGGATTTCTTATGTTAACTACGATCAGAAATGAGGAAAGAGAAGGAAAAGCTGGTCTGAAAGCAAGACACCACCTACCTTTTAAAGGGCACGTATAGAAGGCAACTGACTAGCTAAATCCTTTAATAGCTGCTTGTACCAGAGAAGAATGCTACGCTACAAGGTAATTAAAGAGGCAGAGAATCTTCAGTATGTCTTTACACCACTAGACTTGAATCCTTGTAAACATGTAAGACTTAAAAAGGATGATCTTTATAGTTAATTGTTACACATTTGTGCTTTGAAGACGGCCAGGCCTACCTGGGTTTTCTCCATCAAAAGGGCTACTCAGAAGGCCTCAGAAACCTGCCCCAAACTCGAAGAGAGACTTCTCTTTCTGACGATGAAGCCTCAGCGGTGCTGCCTCTGTCTCTCTTTCCACAAGACCAGGAAGGTGTGTGCCTTTGAAAACAGCAGTGTTACAAGGCTAGAAGCCCAGCCTGCTACATGCAGATGACAGCGTGTGGGAGATGAGTCTTAAAGCCTCGCCGGAAGGCCAGAAACCAGCAACACGTGGCTCTCACTTCTGCAAGCAGTTCTGGACAGACCCTTTGGCAACTGTGGTGGTCTGGTACTCCACGGGGTGGGGGTGGGGCGGGAGTGAAGGTTGTCCCCTGCCCACCTGATAGACTGTGGAAGATGAATGATGTCTCAGAGACCGAGGCTGTTTGCCCCCCTCTTGGATACAGTACAGATAAAGATTAAAAAATACCTAGAAATTACAATGAGCACTTCTGGTTCCGAAAATTGTGCTGGCAAAGATCTACAAGAAAGGAGCAACAAGGCAGACATTTTACCATGATTGGACTTTTATTTCCTTTTTTTTAAAGATGTCACTATTAACACATTAGTTAGGCTGCCTCTGAGAGAACATATCTAGGTGCTCTTGGAAGATCAATTAAGCCAAGGACTGTTCACTGTGAAGTTTTCATTTTCGTTCTAGTGGTTAAAAAAGCCCAATGGCTCCACCTTCCTGAATGAATTATGCTTTGAGGCTGCCTCTAATATGACTCTGATACATCTTAAGGCCACTGATTTAAGATGCATGCAAACATCACAAAGAAAGAGTTACGGATGTATTCTCGACATTCTTTTGAGATTTCTCTGTTGTGCGTCTTTGTTGCAAAAGGAAAAAAAACAGTATAACTCTGTTTCTGTATGATGCTTACAGACAATAGGGGTGCAGGTCTAAAGACTGGAGCAAGTTATATTAGGAGCAGCCTGTAGTGACAACGTCTGTTGGGGAGAGGAGAGGAAATTAAGATATACATCATCATACATGCCAATCTCAGCCTTTCTGGCCCTGAAAGGCCTGGAAAGAATCAGAACGAACTATTTACAAATTCCATATCCTAATAATATTTACAATAGAAACCAATGCATTTAAAAGTTTTTAAATATAGTATTTTACTCTGCTATATTAGTTTACATAAACACAGATTACCTCTGGAACAAGTTTTTCCTGCCTGCTCTTTACAGTGTTTTTTTAAAAAAAGAAAACTTAAAAGCAACCCAGTTAAGAACCCCAGGCTTCCTTAGAACCCTGAGGCATGACCCACCCACAGTGGACTTCGCTATTAAGAGTCCAGCATCGTTAAGAACTACTTCCAACCTGCAGGCTGCAATTTAAAATCGTACATGTAAAAACATCAAGAAGAATCCGAGCGACGCCACAGAACAGCTTTTACTTGAGTCATTGCTAGCATTTACTCTTATACTAACTCCAAAGTCAAGAAGGAAAACCACCACTTCGCTGTTCGGCTCTGTTCCGTCCCCCTTTCCTGCAGACCGTGTTGAGTGCGTCTTCGCCTGCGGGAGCTAAGTGGGCAGTGTTTTTTCTTCTTTGCTGAAAGGCTGAACTGAGCCAGGCTTCACCCATGACAGGCCAGATACTTGCATACTTTTATTCTGTTGATCCTCTACCTTCTTCTAGGAGAAAATAACTGTATTTAGAGTGCTTGCTAAGAGCGAGTATTCTTCACTCTGCTTCAACTGTGTTCATTCATTTAGAAAAAAAAAAAGAATTAGGCTGTTAATCCAGTAAATAGAACATGCCTAGATGGGGATTTCTGATCCTTTATCGGGATCAAATATTAATGCACCAAACCTGAAAGCTCTTCATTTTTCCAGATATCTTCATTAAGCTAGATGGTCAAAACAAAACTGAGACAGAGGAGACTCTGAAGTTCAACAATTTGGCTACCTATTTAAGCTGTGCTGATTGACAACTCAGTAGGAATTTGAATCCTGCAGCTACTCAATTTCGGCAACAAAACAGAACAGAAAGGGGTGTGTGAGAGAATCTTGAATGCAACAGGGCCTCAAAACAGTAGGGACCTCAAAATCTAGGCATTTGTGGATGCACACAGAACACAAGAAAAAAACACACAATAGGCTCAAGTACTGCTAACAACCGGACTAAGTTCTTTTTTTCCAAAACAAGACACCCATTTTTCCATTTAGGCAGTCCAAGTACTGCTAACAACCGGACTAAGTTCTTGTTTTTTTCCAAAACAAGACACCCGTTTTTCCATTTAGGCAGTCTGTGGCTTCTTGTACAGTCATCCACTCAACAACTGACACTCACACCCTTTTGCAAACTCGTTCTCTGCCCCTCACTTAGTCTCTCCTGGTGCTCAATGGGAAATGCTAGTGCCTCTCTCACAAAAGTAACACCTCTCACGAATTCCAAAGTCGTGCTCTCCTGATATAACCAGAGTGACTACATGCACATTGTACCGCTGGTGGGAATAGGGCTGAAATCCAATGCTCCTCATAGCCATTGAATCTGTGGGCTTTATGCAACTGTCAACTTTTGGTTCAGCCATCGATTCTATCTGCCTAATATAGCCGGGGCAAGCAATTAGGTACAAGCTCGGCTTTTATGGAACACAAGAAACAAGTGCTTTTTCAGCACCCCGGATCAGACAGAGGACCTGACATGCATCAGATCCATACATCTGACAGCACGGGCATGAAAAGCTGGGGGGGGGGGAGAGAAATGTTTCAGGTGAAACAACCCGCATCTCAATCCACATTCAACTCAAACATGCCAGAAGGACGGCTGTCTGGATTTCTTACCTCAACCTGGTATGGTCATAATATGCTCATCCACCAGTCTGAATGGGTAAATGCGTAGGGTCCAGCCTTTGAGGATGGGAGCAGCTCTGCTGAGGGCTGAGAGGAATAAGAACACCCTCATAGCCCCAGAGAGAATGCCAGAACTCTAAAGACATACATGTAACCCTAGCAATGGTAAACAAGAAGGTTAAAGATTTAGACTGGTGGGTGATCTTATATGATAAGACACTGGGATGAGGCAGAAGAGACAACGGCCACCCATTGTTCCATTAGTCCAGGTATACCACTGAATTTTGGCAACCTGCAGGAAAATTCCAGGTGCAGGTTATAGAAAATCGCTATTTAAAAAAACCCCTAAAGATGGGGCAAGCCTTGCCCAAAATATATTGGACAGGCCGGCTCCAGTTCTTGGCCGGAGAATAAAATACTGTAAGAAGCTGATGTCAAAAGACACTGGATGTTCATTAGTGTTCAAAGTCATTCCTCAGTCCCTTCCTCAAGATGACAACAGGAGCTTCAAAAACAACACTCCATGTTATCAAGAGGTGTGAATTAAGACCTCTCAGAACATCCGCATGGCCACTGAAAGCCACAGTTGTAAAGGTTTTTTGAAGGCTCACTGCATTCTCTTGCTCTCCTTAACGCAGAAGGTTCATCAAGTGGAAAGAACTAACAAGCCTCTGAAGCCAATCTGAACACATCTCATCCTGCTTACTTACGTCTACAGAACTGAGTGGGCAACTGGCAAAGCTAAGTCCTTGAAGACATTATTTACTAAGAAGAAAAGGAGGTTCTCCAAGAAGGGCTTTCACATAAAGGACCTGGTACCTCTTAGCTCCCACCGTACCTGCTTCAAGGTACCCCCCTCCTCCCCTTTTTGTTTCACCTCAACTATGCTAGCCTCCTACAATAGGCAGCAAGACAGATCCATCTTCCATACCTTCTGAGTCAACATCTTCTCTCTTGCTTCATCATGGATAGCTGGATTCCAGGGAGAAAAGCTGCAAAACACAACCGGAGCATAAGCTGGCAAAGTTGCAATTCTTCACATCCGAAGTATATACAGTATTTTATCTGAAGAGGAGCACCATCGTCCACAGGAAATACACGTGAAAAGGAAAACGGCCATTCCACTAAGTCTGTTTACTGGATGTGACAAATACATGCTGTTAAGAAGAATTTTTAAAACACCAGGCAAGACAGTTGTGCTAAAAGAATTCCTCCGCGCGCGCACACACGTCTCTGTGAACTTGGCTTCATAGCAAAAAAAAAATTCAGTAAGGCTTCACCTTACGCTAAGATTTTAGCCAAAACCTGCCTCTTCGAAGGCAGCCCTTGCTAGAAAGTCGGGGGGTGGGGGTGGGCTGAAAGGAAGGTTTGGACGCATTGTCCATGTTGCCTGCAAGGATAACACCCACAACGATAAAATGTCTTTATCATTCACATGGCCTGGTGATGAAGGAATGCAACTTGATTCACGTTTTCCACGCTTTCTGGCAGCACATTCCTTTGTCTTTTAAAGCCATCAATTGAAGAAGAGCTGCTATCCTAGAACCACAGGAAGCCTATACCCTGTGAAGGGAAGGAGTCTGGGCTGCCCCGTGGAGATTACATGGCACATTACCCACCCACCCGCCCCGAGTTACTGTTACCTACCTAATTGCATAGGGATCCTCAATTTTGGGTGGATCAAATAAATGACTGCTGCATAATTTGACACTGTCTACCACTTTACTCTTGAAAAGTTGGATATCCTTTTCATACCTAGATAGCAAAGACATCGGGACAGAAATGCATATTAAGATTCTCTCTGAAATGACACAAGGACTTTGTACACCAGATGTGGGAATTGCGTGTCCCTAGAGATAGTTCTGCAGCATCCAGGAAAATACACATATATATATACATACATATATATCAAATAAATTGGAAGAAGCTGGACATCTTTGTAGCAGTAAACTCAGGGGTTCTCCCAGTAAGGCTAATATTGAGTGTGAAACAGTTAATATCAGATAGTAGTTCTGAGCATGAGTTGCTAAAAAGTTACTTTAATCTCAGTTTTAATCTAATGTTTAAGTGTGTTTCAATGTAGCTCTGCATTTTTAAAAAAAGTATCACTGTACAGTTTTATTGTTATATTTTAATTTGTTTTATCTTTGTCTGTTGGTAGCCGCCCAGAGTGGTCCCCTAAGGGGAGAAAAGAGGCATATAAATAAATAAATTCTGAAACCAATGCAGAGAGAAAAATCCAAGACAAGTTGACACAGTACCTATAAAAGCTAGGCAAGCTGGAGGATGTTATGTTCCAGTGCTAAGGTTGGGCCTTTTAGCACTTGGGTGTGAGATCCTTATGGAATACCAGGGATTTCCAAATAAGACCCAGAAACAATCCTACCTGAAACCTTGCAGGCCCACCACTGCAATATTCGGCCAGAGGGAGCAAAGGCCTGGTCCTCAGTGCAACTCTGCTTCCCGTGTTCCCTTCAGCATCAAGACTAACAAGCTTAAGGGTCCCCACAGAAACTTACAGCACAGCAGCTTCAGGATTCAGAGGGCTGTTTGTGTCAATCTTGTAGAAGACCCTGCGAGCGTACATCAGGATTTGCCAGATGTGATTATGGTTCCGCCTTTAGGAGAAGCACAAGAAAGCCACAAGGCTGCCTTTAATGGAGCATCCAGATGCAACCGTTCCGGGCAATGACTCTACTCCTAACACATCGCACTGACCTCCACTTGGCAAATGCTCTTTTCACATCCAGTTCACCTGAGACGGGATCTACTAGTGGGTGGAAGATGGGCAGGTCAAAAACCAAGCGCTGAGAGAGAGAGAGAGGGAGGTTTATTTTTTAAAAAAATGTTGACACCAAACTTGCACAATAATCCATCAACCCACACAGGTAGAAGAAACCTCCCAAATTACAAATGCTTCTCTTTTCAGGGATTGAGATTCCTTATGGGGCACATCCAAAGGACCATTTACAAACAATTCACTCCTGCGACACACAATAACACTGCTATGAATAATGGGCTGCAAAACAACCTTCATATGAGACATTTACACATTTTGGGATGGCAGTGTCCGCTCTCCTCTCTCCATAGGCTATGTTGGCCATGGCTGATAGGGCCTGTAGTTCCATAAGATCTATAGAATCCAGGTGCCAAGTAAGGTTCCACAATGAAGAACTAACGAACTTGAAAAGTCAGCTTTAGCTGTACTTGTATCAAGTTTCACCTTGGGGGGGGGATGCAGAACCCATTGTCTTATGTCATGGGCCCACGTCTAAGGCTCAAAAGGCAAAAAATAAACATAATATGAAATAAAAGCATAACGTGAGGATGGAAATGAATTACACACTGCTCGGAGACTGGCTCTTCTACAAAATGCAGCATTTGTATTAATTTTAACTGCAATGTTTGCCTCTAGTGTCTTTAGATCTTAATTTAATTTCCCTTCAAGGTTTCCAAGCACTTTCTTGCACTGAAATGTCTAGTTATGTTGCATGCTGCCCAGAGAGTGTCCGAGCACTATGGGCGGTATATAAGTCAAAGCAACTCATATTTTCACCTTTGCACCAGAATGTTTAGACAACCGTTGCCCACAGGCTTACAATCCTGCTTTTTTCTGGGTCACAGGTAAACTGGTATAGGAAACTTTCTGATAAAAATGCCATAAATAAATAACCATTCCAATTTTTTTTTAAAAAAAACTGCCACAAATGTCAAAGGTTTCAGCCCCATTGTTACTTACTGGACATTCACCATCTGGATAGTTGTCAGGGATGTAGACCGTAAATTTAAAGACACCATCTTGGTACAGCCCGTGCCTTATGAATATTACTCCAAACCACACTATTGGAAAAGAAAAAGAAAAATGATGAACAGATACAAGGCAACAATTGTTTTAATATCCAGAAGCTTTAAAAGCCTGAAGTTTTAAAACTTACTTAATGCGGATTGGTACGAAGGTTGCACGTAGACCCCTGGCAGCTTCTGTTTCACAACCAAGGTACTGTAAGGGAAAGGAAGCCCATATAGTTACAAATAAGGTAGTGTGGGTTTTTTTTTTTGTTTTGTCTTCAACGTACCCTCCAAACTGGGACACAACTATGTAGGGAAGACTCTATTCCACTCTCAATGGCCAAATCTCAGTCTCCCAAAAAAAAGGTGCGGATATTATTCCACCCACTTGAGCCATGGAGGTTTTTCTTCACGAGCCTCTTCCCGTCCCATGGGTGCAACACAGACACAGTGTTCTTTTCTTTATCTAGAAGAGCTGTCTGTGAACTTTGGAACACAGATAGGAAGGTCTCCCTCAGAGCCTAAGGCAGGTAATGCGCGCTTCGGCTGAGGTCAGAGAAGCTGAGCGAGCACTGGGCCGCACAGAAAGCAAGGTATTAGGTTGCAGGAGCCACAGAGATGCACCATAAATGTAAGGCAACTGGCTGTGGATGTGAAATGTATCCGAATAGCCTATAAAATCTGACTGGCTTTAGGGACCTGCCTGGCAAAAATGAAGGCAGGCAAGGGGAGTAACGGGCTAAGGCCGTTGGCAGCAAAGAGATACACAGTAGGAACAAATTATGGGTAAATGCAGAGCAAAGGGAACACAGAGCAATGGTCTCTGGAAGGATCCAGTGCAGCTTCACTGATGAACATGAAGTTCTCCAATCGGGTTAGTGTCCAGATGGGTAAACGCTTTGGCCCAATCTAATACCCCACCTTGAGTTTTATAATGGATGCAATGAAATGAAATTATGGCCCTTTAAAGATGTTCAGCAAATACACAAGCAACGGGCACTCGCTAGTCCTGCACCCTTTTTCCTAGCTCACAAAATGCAGAGAGAAAAATCTAAAGAGCAGCACCACCTCTACACACATGGGCTGGCTCTCCAGGCAGTCAGAAAACTTAAAATACTATGGATCCTAACCTCTATGCTCCACGCACAGAGAGCAGCTTCTGCTGACACGTTCAGATTAATCCTTTGACTGTATGCCTGAGTAAGTATAAAGGCAGCCTATTCTGTAACGCACAAAGGATCTCGCCTGTCAGCTTAATTTGGAAAGGGAACCTGTCAATCAAGGGTGGAGGATGACTTGAAACACTATGGATTCCCATCCACTCCTTAAAAAAAAAAAGTAATATAGCACATAACACAATCAGATTGCAGCTGTAAGAGAGAACACCCAAGGTTTCATCATCTCCAACAAAGGACAGCTATGAGAACAAGCAGTGGTTGTGTTCCCAACACAGCAGTCAGTCACCCAATGACAACAAAACAATCAGCATGCGCAGCATTTTGCCAAAGCAGTGTGCCTCAAATATGCCTTCATAAATATGCTTTTTGATCAGCTGAAGCATACAAGCCTATTTAATTGAACAAAGCCAGTCTAACAAGGCAGGGATAAGCCCTGCCACCAACTGCAGCTGCACCAAACTCTGCACAGCAGAACACGGAAAAGAGTTAAACTGTGCAAGTGTTGATGTGCAGGTTTTCTGTGCCAAGGGATTGCCGTTTTCTAACTTGGCTTGCTCCTCTTTTAATGAGAGAGGGACATGATGGGAGTTATTTCCCTGACACTTTTACAACCGTGCCAAGAAGAATCGCTAAACTTATGAAGACTCCGCCTACGTTCAGCTTTTTAAGCCAGCATGGTAGAGTTCAGGCTTAATCTAATTTGCTACAGGTCAGTTGACATTATCTTATTATTTTTTAACAACAGACCTGGCCAAAATGTAGCCTTAGCTTTACAGGAGCATCTATAGAGGCCATGCAGGGACAATATGAAGTTTGCACCACAAAGACAGAGACCCGAAGCACATTCAGCTAGTGCTGCCCAGTTATGATATTACCATGCAATGCTATTCAGTTCCCCTCCTTTCTATGGTTTTGCACATGATTTATAAGTGATGATGCACCTGCTGGGCACAGCTTCAGAGGAGGAGATGCTATTGTTGTTGCACAACATAAGCCCTTCTGACTGAAGGCACTCCATAGAAGGGGTCTGGAGCATGGTTCACAGAGAGATTTACCATTGCCACACACTGCACAACACATTCTGAGGAGCCTAATATTTTTGTTTTCTAAACACCCTTCTGTGCTGAAGAGGAGGAGCATCTCGCTCCCTGACTAATATTTGTGGCCAGTCCGCAATGGATCTGCTCTGCTGCCTCAGAGAACCTTTGAAAGCACATTCCTCAGTCGAGATTTTTATGCATTTCTTCCAAAAGCTCAAAAGGCTGCGCGGGGGGGGACCAATGTCAGCATAAAAACCCAGAGGAAACCTCTGGAATGACGACGGCACATAAAGCTGGCCAATACTGAGAAGAGAGTCGGTGCTGCTGAAAAAAATAAGCAGCAAAGTTACAAGTGAACACAGAGCAGATCATTTTTCGACTGCGCATGCACAGAGAAAGAGAAACACACACAGAGAGAGAGACATACAATTCTGCCAGAAGGGAGTATTCTAGGTAGAAAGGTCCATAAGAGGCATGTGTTCCATTCGTAGACTGGGCTGAAAGGGCAGGAGAAGCAGGCTTGGTCATGGGCACGACATTTTTGGGAATAGAAGGCAGCTGCTTTTTTGGAGCGGTGCGAGGGGGACTGTTCTTCAGCTCGCCAACCAGAGCTTTTTCTTCTGTTTCAGGTCTCTATCAGAAAACGGGAAACAACAAAGTTTCATTCCACTGGCATTCCACAATTAACAGCAACATTCTCATTTGTTTTCACAGGACAGAACTAAAACTGTAACTTATATAAAGACATAGACGGCCACCCCAACATTCAGTAATCTTTAAGCAGCTTCTTTTAGTTGTATGGTGCAATGCAATCTTGACAAGGAGGCCCAGGGGGAATCGAAGTCCTAACTGGATGCCTAAACCATTGAGCTATCCAGCAGTTCATGGCTACCGTACTATAGAAATAACTGAAGTTTGGAGAAAAGATAAGAAAATCATCTACCAAGGAGGCCCAGGGGGAATCGAACTCCCAACTGGACGCCTAAACCATTGATGGCTAAACTGGATGCCTAAACCTAAACCAGTTCATGGCTACCATACCATAGAAATAACAGGTTTGGAGAAAAGATAAGAAAATAATTTTTTTTAAGATTAAAGGGAATGTACTTGCCCCACCAGATGCTCTTAAGCTTTCTTATATTCAGATTTAAAAAAAAAAACAACCTGGGAGAATATTACAAAGCAGAAACTAGACAGGTCTGTCTTTCTAACAAGTTATATTCACCTTGCGCGTAGAACTTGTAGACATGCTCCAGAAAGGGTTCATAACGTGTATTCCAGGTAGAGGATGATAAATATGCTACGCCTCCCAACCGTCTAGCTTTCTGAGGTTACTTTCTGTCCTAGAAACAGGAAAGTTAAGTTACCAATTGGGGGTGTGCCTGGTCAATCACAGAACAATCCCACCTTAATAAAAAGACACACATTAACCAGTCTGCGTATTGTCTAAACAGTCTTTGTATATATCATGCCTTCACGACCACTTAACACATCCTTTACCCATGTTATTTTTATGAAATGAGTCTCCCACTAGCTTGACAGCAAAAGACACACATTAACCAGTCTGCGTATTTTCTATATAGTCTTTGTATATATCCTCAGTTTACTCAGAAGACCTCAACATGCCTTCACAACCACTTAACACATCCTTTAACCATGTTATTTTTATGAAACGAGTCTCCCACTAGCTTGACAGTTTCTGTTTTTAAGGCTTGCTAAGATGGTTGTTGTGGGTTTTTCAGGCTCTTTGGCCATTAGATCCCAGCCGTGAAAGCCTTCGCGAATAACTTGCGAAGATGGCTTGTTCAAAAAATAAGTAAAATATAAGCAAGTAGGCTCACCTTCCTTTTCACATCAAAATCCAAATTCAGAACATATATCGGTCCCTTCTAATCTGTCTGAAGAAAACCAGCAGTTTTTTGATACTGTTGATTGCTCTCTGACAGAGAAATGAACCACTCAACCTGTGCAGCAGAAACATTCAGAAGCTTTAAAAAATGATACTGAAACTGATGGATCCATAGGCCAGTCAAATTTAGAGAGCACCGATTGAATACTTTCCTCTTGTTCTTCCAAAGCTACGCTACGTCTTGTCTTGACAAACACTTAATCTCAAAGTCTTTCCTTAGAGAGACGACAAACATTGGGGGGGGGCGGCACAGGGCGAAGGTAAAAGAAGGAGGGACCACTTCCCTGGCTCCAGTCTGATTTATTTACTACAGTGGACCCTCTACTTAAGGAATTAATCCGTATTGGAATAGTGGCTGCAAGTTGAAAAGTCTGTAAATCGAATCTCCATTGACCTACAATGCACTGAAGAACGATTAATCCCATAACCAGTGGTTTTTATTCTATTGTTATTCCATTTTGGTTTTTTTCTAGTCTGTAAGTCGATTTTCTGGCTGCAAGTCGAATCTAAATTTTGCAGCCAGAGAAGTCTGTAACTCGCAAAGTCTGTAAGTCGAGCCGTCTGTAAGTCGAGGGTCGACTGTACTTAGCAGAATAGCAGTGGCTCAAGGGAGCAGTGAGGATGCTTTGCAAAATTCTGGAAGAGCAACTTTGGCAAAAGAGAATCAGCAGGTGGGAAAGGTTCAGAATGATCCCTTCCGGGAAAGTGCCTTCAGCAAACGTTCTGCCTGAACATTATGGTGTGTAGGAGTTGCAGTTTTTCATGAGCAGCGTGTAGCTCCACCATCAGCTTAAGACCTTACGGCTAAACAAGCAATAGAAGTCGCACAAGCATAACCCCTTGAAAAATCCCAGTGCTGCCTTCTCACTTTATTTTCCTAATCGGGGTGAACCGCAGGCAACTGCAATCCAGGATTCAAGGTAAGGGCATAATCTCATCACCGCGTTATTATAGGTGGATCTCCTGCCTAGGTCACATAGACTTGAAACAAATTCTATGCTTGAGAAAACTTGCTGTATCCCACAGCAGAAAATAAGAGGAATATAATTGTTACTACCCATCCAGCATCAGGAAGATTATTTCTACTGATGAATCGTTTGTTCTGTTGTTGCCGCATACATCTCTTACTGTAATCTTCCACACCATTAATTGACATGCATACTTAGAAGATAAACCTGAAGGTTTAAGTTCCTGTGTCGCAATGCTCAGAAGGCAGATAACACCTCTCACACTGGCATTGCTGTAATTAATATTATTTATGTTATTTGTGCAAGCTGGTTCTTTGAAATCATGAATGCTGAAATAGCCATTATATTGAAATAAAAGGCAGTACCGTCTAATCAACCACAGCATGCTTCCAAGAGGTCACCAAATACGGGCCATTTCTATCATACCTGAAAAATTTAAGTTTTAAACCCCTGTGCTGACACACTGGAATCTGTTGTCCCACTGAATATTCAAATTCATTTGCATCTATATGAAAAGCTCTTCTGCTATGTAAGAAATGTGCTTTAACCATGAAAAAAGTTAATGCATCTCTCAAGAAATCTGAAACCTCATAAATGTGACCTGATTAGCAAACAGGAGCAGCATTTAGTGCAAATAATTCCCTGTCTATCTGCAGAAAACACACAGAAGTGTACTGAAGGTATACACCGTGCTATTCAGGGTAACAATAAAGGGGAAATATTGTAGCAAAGCCCAGATAAAGAATGGAACAACATGCAAACACATCATTGAATAATTCGAGCATGTTTATGTTTAACCCTTTTTAAGGTACTGGAGATTAGTAAACTATTTCAAGCAAAGCCCAGATAAAGAATGGAACAACAGGCAAACACAGCATTGAACAATTCGAGCATGTTTATGTTTAGTAAACTATTTCGTTACTTGTAATAGAAAAAAAGCAGAAACACAGCTAAAGTAAATGACTTTTAATTTAGTGTCTTGGAAAAAGCTCTTTAACACTGCAGATTCTGCATGGGATGGATAAAGTGGATAGAGGGAAGTTTTTTCCCCCTGTCATGCAATACCAGAACCAGGGGACATCCCTGGGAGAGTGAGAACAGACAAAAGAAAATATTTTTTGACCGAGCATGTTTTTACATCTGTGGAACTCCTTGCCACAGGATGTGGTGATGCCATCTATCTGGCCTAGTTGCCTTTAAAAGGGGATGGGGCAGAAAACTCAATCCCAGGTTATAAACCATGATGGGGATGTATTAGCTCCAGGCTTAGAAGGAAGGTACCTCCAAATTCCAGATGCCAGGGAGGGCGTATCAGGAGAGAGGTGCTCCCAGAGGCATCCGGTAGGACCCCGGTGAGAGACAGGGAGATGGATGAGAGGGGCCTTTGGCTGCAAGTATCTTGTATACTGCGCCCTTGGCCTGATCCATCAGGGCTCTTCTGAGATTCATTCCCTCATTCCAAGTAATCTTTAGAAAGATTACAACAGGAAAACGCTCCTCTGCTCTTCTTTCTACCTAGAGCTTATATACTGTCTGCAAGTATCTTGTATACTGACCTATCTTCAAGAGGTGTGAACTCACTTAGTGAGAATGCCACGCACACACACACACACACACACACACACACACACACACACACACACACACAAAACCCCAACCCCTCCCATTTGAGAAATGGCAGCAGGTTAAACTAGTTTGCCAAGTCTACTGCAAGAAACTCCATGTACATTTCTTTCCCAATTCTTAACGGCTTCCTAGTCCAACACTCTTTATATGAATGTTGGCACCATCGTTTAGTCAAGAAATGTAAAGACACACACTACATCAATTGTCTGTATGTATGTGTTTATCTATGTTTATGTAGACATCTACATGTTTATATATATACATATATCTATATTTCTGAGAACAACTTTCCTCTTATGTAGACATCTACATGTTTATATATATATAAATATATCTATATTTCTGAGAGCAACTTTCCTAGCAAAAAACAAACAAACAAAAAAACACCATTTTGCCATGTACTTTTGGACTTTAAGTTTTGGACTTTTAAGTTCTTCATACACTGGTACAATCCTGATTCAGTGATGTTTAATCCACAAAAACTCAGTTTATTGTGCTATGGTTTTTAATGACAGTGGTTGCCTATTTTCGCATTTTGATTTTATTTTGTTTGGACCACACGGCTGCCTTTTACTTCAATATATCTATTTAGTTCAACTGTATCACAGAGAAGTTGAGCCGTGGGGAAACAGCATTCAGAACTAGGGGAAAAAGTCAGAAAACCTGCATATCATGATCAATAAGACTGTGTGAATGGCGAGGCCACAACTAAGAACAGTAAGCAAGCAAGCAAACATTTCACAAGCAATATGGATCAGGTCTCTGTCTTCTACAGGCAGACAAGTTTCCCTCTCCAGCCTATAACAGTAGTCTAAAAAAATCACACACATCTGGAAAGGCTGTCTAGCAAGAAGGAATTTCTGACATCCTGGCAGGAACAGGATCATAATACAAGCCATCCCCAGTGGAGATGCCAGCGCACGGCGGATATTCAGGTATGTGAAGCAAAACCTCATTTCTCCTCATCATAAAAAAAAAATTACACCGTTGCATCCCTCTGAAAGGAATTTACAAGGAGTAGGCACAACTTTTCAAGGACAAAACATAAACAACAAGCATTTTATAGGGAGCATGGTGGAATCCAACAATAACACAATATGAAGGACAGACCTTTGCTCACACAAAGTATCAACAACACACATCATCAATGAGCCACCCTGTCTGGACTATAGGGAAATCATCATACAGATCTCTCTCTTATCACGTGCAATCAGCTGCAAGGCCACCTATCACAATACATCCTTCTTACCTATGATTTTCCCCCTGGAGAAATGACCACTCATTTTTGTCTCTGTAGGGAAGAAATAGGAAACTTTGTGGGACTGTAAGCCAACTCTCCATTTGCCAACCCCACCCTAGCCGGGACTCAACACCCGCAAAAACATGCTTTTCCTTCCATTCCTTCTGTACAAGAGGTTCATTTCCGACTCAAAAACACTCAGAACACATTCGTTTTGGGGGAATACCAAGCCACGGACCTCAGTTTGGGAGAGAGTCTCGCCTCCTGGAGGCTTCCAGGAGCTTGAATCTCTTTCTTTTTAAATGGATGGAGAACCCCTAAAAAAAGCAGGGGACACATGTGGGCCAATTCTGCTTTTGGGGGCAGCTGCCTCTCCAAAAGTGCTCCCTCTCTTCTCAACTATGATACCCGTTACCGAAACCCTATTTTTATCAGTAACCTTTTATGCCTACAACTTGTTAGTTGCCAAGAAAGTGACTCTTACAGAGGAATGCCCTAAACCAGTGTTTCCCAACTTTGGTGATTCTTGGAATGTAGCTCCCAGAATCCTTCACCACTAACTGTGCTGGCTGGGTATTCTGGGAGTTATAGTCCAAGAACCATTGAGTTACCTAACGAGCCATTGCCCTAACCCCGTTCATTCCTCCCTCTGGGAGTTGTAGTCCAAGAACCACTGAGTTACCCAATGAGCCATTGCCCTAACCCCATTCATTCCTCCAGGGAGCATTAAATCTCCTGAAATACGCAACCCCTTGCAGGACAGAATCCACCTTGCACCTGTTCCCCCATCTTCTCCACCCCTGTTCTTCTGGCTCCCACCGCCACCCAGCCACCTGCTTCTCACCAACAACACCTGCGCCAGCCTCTCAAGACAGACCAGTTTAGCCTCCAAGGGCCCGTCTCCTCCCTCACTTTGCCTCCCTTACCAAGTATATAGCCACGGTCTTGCCACTTCCCTCCTCTCCTACCTGCTGGAGTTGTAAACATGTCCCTGGAAGGTGGAGAAAGAATTAGAAACGCTTCATCAGCTGAACCTCTGTCAAGTCATTTCCAACCTTGGGTACCTAGATGTTCTTGAACTACCACTCCCAGAAATCCTGGCCAGCACAGCTAGGGGTGAAGGCTTCTGGGAGTTGTAGTCCAAGGACCTCTGGGCACCCAAGAAAGGGAACCACTGCTCTAGAGACCTGGCTGGCCGCAGGACCTGTGTATGGTTGACACTTCTCAAATTTGGGTTCATATCCAGATGTCAACTTCTTGAAGAAAATTATTTCTCCCCCCTGCTTAAATCTGCATCTTTTCCACACTAGCCGGGGGGGGGGAACCAACTCAACCCCCAAAAACTTCATGCCAAGGTGTCATGAGATGCAGCATTTTGACAAGTCGGAGCTTCCCCTGTCTCCTTTCTTTGAGAAACAACCCTTAATAGTGGCATAAGTTCAGCAGGTGAAGCTTCCCCCTCCCCAAATGTCCATAAAGAAAAGGACTATACCTGTCAAACATCTGCCGGTCCAGCTGCTGGCCAAAAGACTCTACGGGGGTCCTACTATGCAGCGAAGCCCTGTCTCCCTAGTGGCTTTGCTCCCACCAGCTTGACAAGCAGGCATTCATCAGGTAAAGCCTCCCCACTAACAAACAGCATCACCCACTGGACTTCTGCCTGCCTCCCTGCTAC